AAGAATTTTACACACATAACGCCAAAAATATATGCAATGTGTGTATCAATACAACGTCGTCTGCATTTTGACATCAATTAATTTATGATGTCACATTACGGTTGGTTTTTATGAGGGGGAGAGAGAGAGGGGTAAAAATAGAAAAGTGTGCTCTATTTATTTAAGTGTATATCTACGTGACACGAGTTTTTCAACCTCCACATTGAAACAACAACTCAGTATCTGGAACTCTTCTATAGCATAACCGTAACAGCGTTTCTGCTTAATCACACTGAACTGTTAACTCTGGATGAAGCATTTAAGTGTTTCAAGGAACTATACACTGGTATCGATTTGTGGACAAGGGTAACCTTTTCTAGTTTTATGCAAAATCACAAGATATTTTACTAAACAAACAAAAGATAAACGCCCTATTCCGGAACAAGAATTTGTATACAAATCCTTGTCTGGAAGGGAAAGTAGCATCAGAACCCCTTGATAAGATCAGCGAAAGAAAGGATACAAAAAATCATCGGAAATAAGACAGACGAAAAAGGTAAAATAACAAAAATACCGAACTCAAAGGAAAATTCAAAACGGAAGGTCCCTTATCAAATGACAAAATCAAAAGTTCAAACACATCAAACGAATGGAAAACAATTGTCATATTCCTGACTTGGTACAGGAATATTGCACAGATTCATGTGGCGGATCCATTTGGATGTTCCAGGGTTTTAACGGTATTGTCTATTTGTCAATTACCTATATTTATTCTGTTATAACACACTTTTAACACAAGTTGCTTCCCTTTGCCAATTGCCAGACTGGTTTTTAACTGAACTTGCAATGTCAGCTGTTGTCTGTGTACAGTAAAATAAGTTATAAGTTATATAGTATAGGCATTTATCTTACCTCTTTTACGTTTCAAGGAATATGATTGGTTAAAAGCAACCGCGTGGAGACCGTGTATTTTCCATATTAGGTTATTAGGGTTTCATATTAGGTTAGTAGGCGGGGCTTATTTCAATACACGGTTAATATTGGCAAAAGTTTCGGACAAAAAGCAAAATTATCGGACAAAAAGCGAAACGGACAAAAAGCAACGGACAAAAAGCAAAAGTGTCGGACAAAAAGCAACGGACAAAAAGCAAAAGTGACAAAAAGCAACGGACAAAAAGCAATATTATCGGACAAAAAGCAAAAGCGGACAAAAAGCAAATTGCGGACAAAAATCACCGTATCATTGGTGTTATGTCCCTTTATAAAAACAACACGGTGTTAAGGAAAAATCTTAAATGTTTCAACAGATGAAGAAATTGATGATGAACGATTAAAATAAATTCATAAAACACATTTAAAGCTAACAAGTTGTTATTGTTGGCATCTGTTCTTGTATAGACCAATGAAAGTAGGTTCTTAATACTAACGGTATTGAAGACTTGATCACTTTGATAGGCCACTAGTCTAAAAACCACAGATAGTCGGTAAGATAAATTCGTTACATAGTGTGCTAGTGGCCTAATACGATATATATGGGGTCAGTAAATTCCATATGGGGATTCTTCGCTCTCACCCCATATGGAATTTACTGACCCCATATATTTCGTATTAGGTCACTAGCACACTATGTAACTAATAATGCACAATTTCTTATTGAAAATTTACTTGATATCAAAAGTTTTTACCTTAACAAAAGAAAAGATGTAATTAAAAGATTTGAAAAACTTACAGATTATTACGCACATAATCACAGAAAAAATGTTCTTCCCATTTACTGTTCATTGGCAATGGCAATTTATGTCCCTCATAACAGACAAAAAGACTATTCAATATTGCTGCAGTCCTATTGCGTCAATTGCCATTTAAAAGATATGATATTTGCTTTGAAGAGGCATTAGCTGTCAAATTCATGTTTACCTATTTGACTCAAAATCTCATATTCGATTTATAACATACTCAAACGTATATCCAAATCATAAAAATTCTAAAATTAACAATTTACGATGCATGGACTCAATAATATTTATCAGCATTTCGTGTGTATTTTAGTCTAGACGCCATCTTATTAACCATCAAGGTGACCTCCGACAACTGCTGACGGACATATCTCGATACAAACATAAATATAGATATAAATAGATGGCGAACACGTGCAGTCGGATTTTTCTAGGTCTGTTTGATTTTATATTATAGGTTAAAAAAATATGTTTATCAATATTTTTACCTGTATAGGAATGAGATATTTGTATACAGTTTAGTTGAGATTTTGCATACAGTATAGTTGAGCTTTTGCATACAGTATAGTTGAGATTTTGCATACAGTAAAGTTGATGAGATTTCGCATACAGTATAGTTGAGATTTTGCATACAGTATAGTTGAGCTTTTGTATACAGTGAAGTTGAGCTCTTGCATACAGTATAGTTGAGATTTTGCATACAGTATAGTTGCAATTGTGCATACTGTAAAGTTGAGATTTTGCATACAGTATAGCTGAGCTTTTGCATTCAGTATAGTTGAGCTTCTGCATACAGTATAGTTGAGATTTTGCATAGTTGAGATTGTGCATACAGTTTAGTTGAGATTTTGCATACAGTATAGTTGAGCTTTTGGATACAGTATAGTTGAGCCTTTGCATACAGTGTAGTTGAGCTCTTGCATACCGTATAGTTGAGCTTTTGCATACAGTATAGTTTAGATTTTGCATGCAGTATAGTTGAGCTTTTGCATACAGTATAGTTGAGATTTTGCATAGTTGAGATTGTGCATACAGTAAAGTTGAGATTTTGCATACAGTACAGTTGAGCTTTTGCATACAGTATAGTTGAGATTTGCATAGTTGAGATTGTGCATACAGTAAAGTTGAGATTTTGCATACAGTATAGTTGAGCTTTTGCATACAGTAGAGTTGCGATTTTGCATAATTAAAATTGTGTTTACAGTATAGTTGAGATTTTGCATACCGAATAGTTGAGCTTTTGCATACATTATAGTTGAATTTTTGCATACAGTATAGTTGATATTTTGGATAGTTGAGATTGTGCATACAGTATAGTTGAGATTTTGCATAGTTGAGATTTTGCATACAGTATAGATGAGATTGTGTTTTGCATACAATAAAGATGAGATTGTGTTTAGCATACAGTATTATATTAATAGTTGTTGAGATTTATAAGGTGTTGTTGTACAACAAAAGACTTTACTGCGAGTGTATATACATTTGAACTGTGCATTACTGTTTGGATTGAATCTCTTTCATATTTACATGAGATTAACTCACAGAAGTAAAATCGACAAATACTGTTAAAAGAGAATGGGAACATAGATGATATTTGAAACCTTTCTGTCGGGGTGTATAAGATATATTTGTTGGTGGTACATTCAAGTACAAGCACATGGTTTCATTTTGATTATTGGTAGTTTCTCTCCAAAAATAACATTCAATATTTGCCAATTCCTGTAACTAGAGATCAATATTAGTTATCTACCTTAGAAGGGACATACATTTTCTTTGACAATGAAGATCTAACTTTTGACTTTTCACTAAAGATTGGGTAAAATGCCTATATATCACTTTCAACTTATCATATTTTGCGAGGGCAGAAGCCCATTTTGTCTAGTTTAGAACCAGTCTAGAATTGAAAAAGGGGATACTAACTTTTCGGCATGAATGATAGTAGATATTTCAAAACATAGTGGCGCAACCGTATTACTGGCACTATAAAGTGTCGCATTTTTCGAAAAGTTTACTGTCAATTGCAATTGATATATAGTAGATATTTCAAAAACTAGTTGCGCAAACGTATTACTTGCGCAAAAGGACGCAAATATATTTCTCCCAAAAATATATAACTTATATATGCAGTCGTACAGTACATCTTCATCAATGCCAAGGCAATGACTTTTAAATGAATGGAACAATAAGCGGTATTATTTGATAACTGATTCTTAATCACAATTTTGTATTTATGCTGTTACAGTAGTTAACTTAGGTAAACTTCGGAATTCCTCGGACCATGCATGTATGTAATTATCATGTTCCTGTATAACTGAGGTAAACTTCGGAATTCCTCGGACCATGCATGTATGTAATAACCATGTTCCTGTATAACTTAGGTAAACTTCGGAATTCCTCGGACCATGCATGTATCTTCGGAATTCCTCGGACCATACATGTATGTAATTACAATGTTCCTGTATAACTTAGGTAAACTTCGGAATTCCTCGGACCATGCATGTATGTAATTACCATGTTCCTGTATAACTTAGATAAACTTCGGAATTCCTAGGACCATGCATGTATGTAATTACCATGTTCCGGTATAACTTAGGTAAACTTCGGAATTCCTCGGACCATGCATGAATGTAGTTACCATGTTCCTGTATAACTTAGATAAACTTCGGAATTCCTCGGACCATGCATGTATGTAATTACCATGTTCCTGTATAACTTAGATAAACTTCGGAATTCCTCGGACCATGCATGTATTTAATTACCATGTTCCGGTATAACTTAGGTAAACTTCGGAATTCCTCGGACCATGAATGTATGTAATTACCATGTTCTGGTATGATATTTATATTTGCATCTCATTTTTTAATGATTATGTGAAGGTTAATAACATATATATGCTCTTATATATTCCCTATAAATGGGATGGTTTAACCGGAAGTCTAAGTACTCTATTCAGAGATCACAAATAGCCTTTCTTTCCGAATTTTTTCACATATCTATTAAAATTTATTGTCACATATTCAACTGTCTGATCAGTTTGAAAGAAATCACAAAACACTCCTAGAACAACAGGCACAACAGCTAGTCATTTAACATGTTGAAAAAATGAACGAAATAGATAAACTAAAATATAAAATCAATTGACAAAATTACAAGCTTGAGCTCAACGAGTTGTATTTCTGTTTTTCGAAATTGAAGAGGAAGGATGTGCTTATGATGAATAATGTTTTATTTATACTTATATGTATCCGTTGTATAAGAAACTTCTGCGTCATTCTTCATCTGATTTTCGAAAAAAGGACTTAGGTAAGGTGGTTTAATGAAAAAAGGAAAGAATATATATGGTTGGGATTTAAATAGACAATAAATACAATAACTAAAATATGAAGTAATCATTAAAACAACAGTACTTTTATTGCTGTTGTTCATCTTGAAAAGTGCTTGGATGTTTTTTTAGAAATGAACTAAAGCTGTTAAAACTGATAGCAAGATCAAACGGATCCAAGCATCGACTAGGGCAGTACTCTTTATTGTTCATTTCTTCATGTACGCTACGTTTCAAACCCGGACAAGATAGTCAAATCCGGACAGGAAAGTCAAACGCGGACAAGATAGTCAAACCCTCACGAGCGAGCAATTAGAGGGATAATTCAATTTCAAGCGATTAACCATGTTTACTGTAAGACTAATTTGAATATAATAACACATTTTTTAAGTAAACAAGCATATATACTGTTATCGAACAAGTGTATGAAAGTGAAATACGATCAAATACGGCCATAATTCTATGCATGCTAAGTTTAATGTCAACGAATGACACGAAGACAAAAGCAACATAGCATGCCACATTGCATTGCTGAATATCAATAGGAGGCCACAAAGAATTAAGCTTTCGGTAATAATAATTAAAATTAAGTGAAGACAATCAAAATAAAGCGACTTTATTTTTTTGTATTACAATCTCAATATTAGACGGATAAGTAAAATCAACAAGTATTTGTATTGCGGGGACAATTTTACAAAATAGAGAAGGATAACAGGAATCACCAAAAATAGTGGACGGTACACTCGACTCCTAATAAAAATAGTGAACAGTCCACTCGACTCCCATAAAAATAGTGGACAGTACACACTTGACTCCTCATAAAAATAGTGGACAGTACACTCGACTCCTAAAAAAAATAGTGGACAGTGCACTCGCTTCCTCGGAAAAATAGTGGACAGTGCACTCGACTCCTCATCACAATACCGGACGGTACACTCGACTCCTAATAAAAATAGTGGACAGTCCACTCGACTCCCATAAAAATAGTGGACAGTACACACTCGACTCATAAAAATAGTGGACAGTACACTCGACTCCTCAGAAAAATGGTGGACAGTGCACTCGCCTCATCAGCAAATTAGTGGACAGTGCACTCGACTCCTCATCACAATACCGGACAGTACACTCGTCTCTTTATAAAAACAGTGGACAGTATGCACTCGACTCCTCATAAAAATATACGTACACACTACACTCATATACAAAACGACAACAAACAAATGGCGATCAAGATCAGCTCGATTTGGTACAGACATACACTGAACTTTAGTAGGGTTTTTTCATAGATCAGTTTATTAACATGTCTAAATTCAAACAAATTTTGTATCTGTTTCAGCATGTTCGAGTACTCTAGATCTTCTGACACATTTCCAATGTCCTACCCGAATACGGTTTCTAATTTCGCAAATTCAACTGTATCTCCCGATTATGTATGGGAATTTTTGGAGCAACTAGACTGGTACCAATTTGTTAACGAGCGAATACCGACTTTCGTGTTCCTTCTCGTCATTTCCGTGATCGGTATAATAGGAAATTCCCATGCTATCGTGATCTTCCGTAAGTATCCGTTATCTTCCGTAACTGTTTTAATCAGATGGATTGTTCACGTAGACTTATTGGCATGTTTTATTTGTATTCCTTTAGAACTTGTACACATACGTCATAGATACACCTATCAATTGAGAATTTTATGCAAAATCACCAGATATTCTACACATTTTACAAGTTTTTCATCCGGGGTTCTGCTTTTATTGGCAGCCATTGAAAGACGACAAAAGATTTGCGCACCTTTCAATTGGCAATTGTCATTTCGAAAAGCCAAGTGTGTTGGGATTTTCGTGCTGGCTTCGACTGGAATTATTTCTGTCCCAGCTGCAGTATACTATGATGTATTCGACCACAAAACAAGTAAACCGGTATTTGTTGGCAGAGACTGTCGGGATTCGAAAGGTTTTGAGCAAGCAAAAATGTATGCCTTGTTCGTTCTTGTTATTATATTATCCGGGTTTTTAGTTTGCACTGTTGCATACATACAGATTATAAAAGTAATAAGAACTCAATTAGAAATAGAACAAAACAGATCGAAATCAAATTCGTTATGGGAAACACGTTTTGCAGCGGAGGAATCTGAACAAAATAGCAGACGAGCTTCTTTGAAGGAGAAAGTTGAAAACCTGGAAATATCCGAAAATACGTGTAATAACTCTGATACTTTGTCAAGAACGCCTAAATCTCCCAGAGAAAAACGTTATAAGGATTCTTGGACAATAACGATGATGATCATGATAGCAACAGGGATTTCCTTTGTAGGATACATGTTACATTTTTGTGCAGTAATAATGAAAACAACTTTTCATCCAGAAACACTGGATAAAATAAGACCCGTCTACATATTGATTATCAGGGGTTATTTCTTGCAGAGTGCCATTCATCCCTTAATTTACTGCATAGTGGACAAGACGTTCCGAAAAGAAGGCAAAACTGTGTATAGGAAAACAATAAACAGACTTCGATCGAGAAAAAAATAAACTCTTATGTGTTTTTACATTGTTGGCACAAACTACATAAGACCTGTGACAAATGAGCTATCTTCCCAATAATTTTAGAATTTCATTACCTCAAAACCAGTACATATCGTAAACATATATGCCACATTGCCTCCTTTCCTGTTTATGATATCATACCAAATGCCATAGGTACTTGGGAACAGGACAATTGTTTTGCCCTCCCCCTTTTTTTCCAAAATCCGTTATTTTTTTTGTTTTCTATTAATTTCAATTATTTTCGCGTTTTTCTGTATTATATGAACATAAATATACTAGAAATAACTTGTATTTCCTATTTACTATCAATTCCAAGTTTACTATGCACAGCGGTCACTAATATATTCACTGAAACTTGGAAATAACGGATTTTGGAAAAAAGGGGGAGTACTAGAAAAAATGGTCCTGTCCCCAAGTACCTATGCTTAATGGAACTTAATAATCAAATAATTTTGATTTTGAAAATAAACTTTTTTCAAGAACTACATAACGGGGCCAACTAATGTAGCAGGGATGGGATATCATGGTTTTAAACTAGATACCTCAATGATGATTGTGGCCAACTTTGGCCAATGGAACAAAAATAACAAATAAGACAAACACCTTTATGAAAAAAAAAAAAAAAAACACTTTCAAACTCATTTTTATAATTGACAACCCCACCCCTTCTCATTACTAAATTACATATATGACTAAAGATTGAGCAACCCCATTAAAACCAGGATTTTCAATCCCTGCTACATTGTTTCTCTCAAACTCTATTTTATAACTGACCACCCTTTCTCTTTACTACTACATAGATGAGTAAACATTGAGCAATGGGAGAAACAATGCAGCAGGGATTGAAAATCCTGGTTTTAATGGGGTTGCTCAATCTTTAGTCATCTATGTACTAGTAATGAGAAGGGTGTGGGGTGGTCAGTTATAAAATTGAGTTTGACAGTGTTTCTTTTTTATTCTTTTTTATAAAGGTGTTTGTCTTTTTTGTTTCTGTTGTTCAATTGGCCAAAGTTGGCCACAATCATCATTGGGGTATCTAGTTTAAAAAGTGCGTGACCACCGTCACTGTGTCCGATCACCCCGTTAAACATTATAAGTTATCTACGTTCATATCCGTAGATATGGATATTTTAACACCCTGAAGTATCCAAGTACACCCTGAGGCGCAGCCGAAGGGTGTATAGGGTACTGAAGGGTGTTAAAATATAAATATCTAAGGATATGAACGTAGATAACGAATTTATCCTCGGTCTTAGTCTAAATCTGGCGATTTTTAGAGAAATTCGACCGCAAAGTTTAACGTGAAAGCAACGTTTTTTTTCATTTTTTAAATATCTTTTATTGAAATTTGGGAATTTGACATATTTTTAACGGGGTGTAGGGTACTACCTTTGGTAGAACCCTGCATGTAGACAAATATAAGACGTTTTTAAACTAGAGACAGAGAAACTGAAATGGGTCGAATTTGGCGCGCAATGTTGTGAGAGTTACATCATAAACAGTGTGACGTCAACGTGGGTCCTTTGCATAGCTAGGTCAGTAGTACCATTCATTGACAATGTGGCTGCATAGTGACGATTTACTAAAATGTGTGCAAATAATCGATATAATAAGATAAAATCGTTAGTGGATTAAATATTTAATTATACAGACATCATGGAAAATCTACAGAATTCGATATTTCATAAGGAACAACCATGGAACTAAGGAAAACGCGCGTGAAATTCCCCGATGTAATGGGTAGCAACGTCCGTGTATATGGGTTAGCAACACCCAGGGGCTATGGGTTTTGTAACGACGTGCGTTAACCAATCAAAATCCTAGAAATATACTAAGCCGGGGATAATGTGTCTGATCATCCCGTCTGCCAACAAAAATGGTAGACATGACTAAAAACAGAACAGAAATGCAAGTTGAGTTTTTTTATCTTCAAAACCGCTATAGATGGTGTCTTCCCGATTGTTCCACTTTTTGAAAATGCTGACCGGTCTAGATTATCATTACAGAAATAAGTCAAGAAAGTGTTATGATTATATCTTATTGTAATATATTTTCTTTTTTACAAAAAGTAAAAAGATTTTCAATTATTAATTATATTTTGTTATATCAGGGGAGATAACTCAGATAGTTAAGATTTATGAAAGAATGTATAGTTATTTACCTATAATAATAATATGCAACGGGAAATAAGTACTAGAACGCCGACCCCCATTTTTGTATTGCATGAAAGCACATTGTTAGAGCCGTCTTCTCATATTCTATTTTCAAAATTTTATCAGTTAGTTTTATCTTCACACAAAAGTGCTTTTTCTGTGTAATCCTTCAAAATCTGACAATTTTGCTCAATCTGTGACCCATAATTTTTGCAATATGTTTTTAGAAAGAAAAAAAAACAATATTAAATACATTTCTGGAAAAATGTAATTAATAGAATTCTGGACATTAGAACAGTGGCATAGAAATATCAGATTGACAAATTGGAGTGTCTAGGAAGGGTTTGCAAATTAAAGAAAAATGGACAGAAAAAAGCGAGAAATTGGCTAAAAAAATACAGAATATACAATAGTGGAGTACTAAAATGTAAAGAATAGCGAAATGGACAAAACAATAAAAAAAAAGAGAAAAAGCTAAACAAATAAAAGAACAAGAAAATAAACCCCATCCCCCATGTCTAGACCTCAAAATGAACATGTTGGAAATAACGAAAAGTGTGTCTTGGTAAACTGACATTGTAACGATCAATCAATTCACAATGGTTCATTTTGTGGTTCCTCTCGAACCGTTTTTGGAGAAGATTTTCCGAGTCAATAGAAAAAATTCTGTTATTTAAATAGCCATAATGAAAACAAGCTCTAACATATCTTATCAGCTGACATACAATATATGTTTGGGCAGTTGGTATGGTGCGACTCAGTCAAAAATAGGAAGTTGACAATAGAAAAACTTACATTCTCGCGTTTGTTTGGCTGGCAAGATTCCTATTTTTCAGTAGCCCATCAACATCAACTTAAAAGAAAGGTTGTACATATACGTATTTAGCAGGGCTCCACGTGGCTACAGTTCTTCTCTTATATGTTTATGTTTCAAAGGAATTTTACAGTGAAAAAAACCACAATGACTACACGTGAAAGTGAAATTACAGGGTTTTCTTAGATCTTTTTGTTTTTGTTTTTAAAAGAATTTTGTTTAAGGTTTATTTTACGAGGGCAAAACAAACAAGACAGCAAGCATTGGGCTAAATTAGTACCAAACTTTGCCCAACTAATTTCTGCGATGTTATCACTCTAATTGTCTCTTTCGTCAATCAACTTTTGAAAAAAAAATAGATAAGGAAAAATCAGAGATAAATAGGATTGTTGCATTGTTTTATTTACTCACAGGTCACCGTACCGTACCGTCTTCAACAATCATAGCGGAAGTTTGGCTGTTACGTACCTGTAGAAGTCTTATTCAAAACGAGATATCACATCATTATTGTTACAGTAATGTTGTTTTTAGAGCTACTTAATTTGGATACGATCCATGTAAACTCATTGATCCTTTGAATAAACTTGTCACATTGTACACAACCTCCTTGATTCCAGTAGGTATCTAGCATATTTCTTATTTCAAAAGAAGGTTTTATATGAGTTATAGCAAATAAAATTGCCATCAGATTTTTAAAGGACCATTTGATTAGATAAGAGAACTTATGTTGAAAGAAATTATGAGATAGTGTAGTGTACAGTCGAAAAATCATAACAGTTAACCGACTTGAATGGACCATCAAAAGCAAGTGATTTATCCAAAACATCCACATGATATAATCTCTCTCTCTCTCTCTCTCTCTCTCTCTCTCATAACGATTTCGTCCCATTATTTTCAATGGAGCGTCGTTCTAATAGTTGTATTACATAAGAGATATATGTTGAAGTCGAAATTCAAGTATGGATTAAGTTTCTATAATCGTCGATGTGAAAGGCCACAGAAATATATAGGCTATACCACAGAAATAGATAGGCTATACCACAGAAATATATAGGCTATACCACAGAAATAGATAGGCAAAATGTTTTATAATATGAAAAATACTTCTCTTCCTATGGCTATATAAAGGTATACACAGACGTGCCTCTTGTATGGGTCGGTTTTTTTTTAATGTCAAATATATCAACGGGGTGCAATTTCACGGAGGTATATACCAATGGATAGAAATTTATTTGTCAATGGGTCATACATGTTCATCTTCTGTTAAGATTTCTGTAAAAACTGTTCTGATCTTTTATCTCATAATATGAATCACGGATCCCATGTGGTTAACATCTCATTGAAATAAGATGTCACGATAGCTTGGAAATATATATAAATGAGTTGTGATATTCTTATGAAATATATGAATTGGTAGGGTTTTTCGTAATATCAATATATGAATGGGGGTGTTTTTCAAACCATAGCCAGACGTCTGTACCCTTTGAAGGAAAAACCTGTGGGTGCTAAAATACAAATGATTGGTGTTTGCTTTACGCAGCATCAGCCAAAAAAGGTATATCGCAGCGACTCTAACATACAAAGAATAGAGAATACTGGACAAAATGAAAAGAAAAAAGGACCTAAAGGATTTTAACAATAAAAAATGATTGATTAATTGGTTGATTGGTGGCGTTTAATGCCACACTGTTTCTAATGATGGAGGAAACCGGAGTGCCCCCAGGGACGGATTCAGGCGGGGATATGGCGGGCGTGCGCCCCCCCCCCCCCCCCAAAAAAAAAAAACAAATTTGCACAGCATGGGTTGTCCTCAGCTTAATAAAGAATATTTCCGATAATTTTACCTAAAAAAAATTTAAGTTTGCGCCCCCTTATCTAAAATCCTGGATCCGCCCCTGGTCCAATGTTGAGAAAACAAAGATCTTAGGCAGATAAACTGGCAATCCTAGTCAATTAAGATTGAAGTAGAACGTAACTCCACTCGAACTCACAACCTAAGCGTTGACAGGCTAGTGATAACTGTCAATGAATTACTTGGACCACTCGACCACAGAAGCCCCTACAAATTTGGAGACTGTGAACCCCCATTGCGCCAAACCAAACTCTCGTGAATACAGTTACTAGAGATGGCCGTTGTGTCTGTAAGACACGTTTGTTTTCCCTGGCATGAATTATAATAAATTCCATAATACAGGACAATTAATTGTAACAACAGTTTTGTTGTTGTTCCTCACAGACTTTATAGCGCGAGTTCGACAAAAATTACAGGGGGCATAAAATGTGAATGTAATGATACAAAAACAAGTCCAATATATAACTCCTAAGATAGAACATTGTCCTAAGATGGTCTTAGGACAGATCCTAGTCCCAAGACTGCTTTGATAAACAGGCACAATACCTATAATGAATAGCGATTTACTTAACACTATAATGGGTGTTGAAATTAGTGTATAATACAGAAAATCTTAAATTTCAAAGCTACTTAAATCAGTTAATGGCATCTATAAAAAAATGTAGTAAACAATCCTAAATTTGCAGTTTTTATCAAAGTTTACATTCAGCATGTTCAGTAAAAGTGTTCTATTTCTATTTACCGTTTGTTTTGTTTTTTTTATAAATAAGCTATCCATATATTCGCATTCTGGTTTTTTTTTATCACACTAGCTAGCTACTATTGCGTTTTTTGCCGTTTTTTGCAACAAAACATTAACAGAAATTTTAAAGTTTCCGTTGAAATGGGCTATTAGACTGAATACTATATGTTTACGTGGGGTGAATTATTGGAAAATTGGAATGTTTTTTGTTGTAAAAGTGCTGCATATTGCGTAGAATTTAATTTATTCTATATATTTTTATTTTTGTCATTCTTTAATTAACATCTCAATTATCGTTTGACATGACTGGCTGAGAAACCAATTCAGAAAAAGATATATAAGTAGATTATCAGTTGATGTCGATATGCACATCTACATATAGTATGTCCTTATTATCTACAAAGTTTCATGAAATTCTGTCGTGTAGTTTCAGATGAGTTGCGATGACAAACTGTTGCAATAGTATATTGAGGCAAATAAGAGCAAAGGGCACAATTCCTAGAAAAAAAAATGAATCATAATTTCCTGTCGATATACACGTCTACATAGTATGTCCATATTATCTACAAAGTTTCCTGGAATTCTATTGTGTAGTTTAAGAGGAGTAGCGATGACAAACTGTTGCAGTAGTATATTGA